CTCTAACCACTAGACCCCACCCCATCCCAGAGCCGGGCAGGGAACCCCGGAGTCCTGGCTCCCAGCCCCCCCCCTTCTAACCACTAGACCCCACCCCCTCCCAGAGCTGGGGAGAGAGCAGAGGAGTCCTGCCTCCCAGTCCCCCTCTCTGAAATAATCCCACGTCACAGGGTGGGGGATATTTTGCCTGGGATCAACACCCCAGTGGGTGACCCCTATTTATCCTAAGATATGGGGGTGCAGGAGACCAACCCTTTCCCTGTGCCTCATTCCCTGCCCCCCTGAGCCAGCCAGTCCCCGCCCTGGGGCCGGATGGGAGCCAGCGTCCCCTAGAGGGGAAAGGCCCCGTGCCCCATTCGCCACCCCCTGAGCCAGCCAGTCCTGGATCGAAGCTGGTGCCCCCTAGAGGGGTGAGGCCCTGTCTCCCTGACCCCCATGTCTCTCTCTCTGTGCCCCCCAGATGCCGATTCTGAAGCAGTCCCCCATCTCCCAGTCGAAGAAGAGGTCCCGCATCGGGCGGGACATGATCAGCGCCCCGCTGGGGGATTTCCGGCACACCATGCACGTCGGCCGGGGCGGGGACGTCTTCGGGGACACCTCCTTTCTCAGCAACCACGGGGGCCCCAAGGCCAACGGGCTGCCCCCCGCCACCGAGGCCCTGGCGCCGGCCCAGTCCCCCAGCCGCCTCTCGGGGTCCTCCGGCAGCCCGGCTGATTTGGGGGGCGGCCCCGGTGCCCTGGATTTGCCCCCCGCTGCCTGGGAGGGGGAACTACAACACGCCGAGTCCCTGTTCTCCTTCGAGTTGGATCTGGGGCCCTCCATTCTGGATGAGGTGTTGGGGGTCATGGACAAGGGCGGGGAGCAGCCCCGGAGCGAGGACGTCAGGGCGGAGAGGCCGGTGGGGGGACAGGGGCTGGGCCACGGGGCGGCTCCCCAGGCAGGGGAGGAGGAAGAGGAGGAAGAAGAAGAAGAGGAGGAGGAGGAGGAAGGCACCGGGCATGGATACACATTTGACGATGAGCTGGATGACGAGATTGGGCTATAGGAAAGGGGGTTCAGCTCCCCTCCCATCCCTCCATTCCCCCCTATTCCCTCCACCTGTCTCCTCCCCTGTCCCTTCATCCACGCCCCTCCTGCTTCAGCCACCCCCCTCTTCCCTTGTGTGTGTTCTCTCTGTCCTTTCCTCTTTCATTCTTCCTTACCCTCCTTTCATGCGCTTCCTCCTTCTCTTTCTTTGGCTCCTGCTCTCTTTTCCGCCATTTCTTCCATTCATTGTTTTTTTTCGTTCACTTATTCTTACCCCCTAGCCGGCCCCCTCCCCGTGGCAGTACCGGTTCTCTGAGGTTGGTGATCCTATCTGCAATGGAAAGTCCAATGTGTTTGATCCTAATTTTCACCTCGTTGTCTGTATGGATTTCTGGAATCCTAATCCACCCACCCGTCCGTTGACTGGTCAACTCATCAATACCTCTATCTATTAATGAGCTCCTCAATCAATCCACCAATCCACAGATTGCCCAATCAACCCATCAATACACTGATCAACTTGTCAATCCATTTATCAATCAACCCGTCAATTGATCAACAATCAATCTACCATCAAAGAACAATTGGCTCATTGGCTGACAAAATGAGCTATCAACAGTCAGCCCCCCGCAGCTGATCAATCGGCCGATGGACCCATCAACCATCAATCCACCAATTGACCTGCCAACTAAGTTATCGACCAACCAATTGACTGATGGAACAGTCAACGATCAACAAAGCAACCAGTCAACCCATCAGCGGACTAGTCAAGAATCAACCCACCAATCGACCAGTCAGCCAACCAGCGAAACAGTCAACAATCAACCAACCAATTGGTCAGTGGAATGGTCAACGATCAACCAATCGACTAGCCAACCCATCAGCGCAATAGTCATGAATCAAGCCACCAATCGACCACTCAACCAACCAGTGGAACAATCAACCAACCTGTTGACCAACCAATCAATCAATCCACCGATCATCTCAGCAATTGACCGAATAACCCACCAATCAGTCAGCATCCCACTTCCTCTCCCTCATTCCCCTCTCCCAATGGGAGAAGGAACTCCTGAACTGAAAGAAGAGACAGTTTGATGTTGGTTTTGTGTGTATCCATCTCACACCCCATCTGGACTCTGGGCTCACAAGAGATGGACTCGGACAAGAGCAGTGGTACCGGGGTGGTTGAGGGGCACGGATCAGCCTTGAGAAAAGTGATTTGGGTAACGCTGTGAAAATGACCTGGGTTCCCTCCTCCCCCACCCCCTATTTCATGCCTGGGGCTCCCCCCACATGGAAGGAGAGTTACTTGAGACATTAACAGATTATATTCATCAGGGGTGGAAGGCCTAGGGTCTAATGGGTTAGAACAGGATGGGGGCTGGGATCCAGGACTCCTGGGTTCTCTCTCTGGTCTCTGGGAGGGGAGTGGGGTCTAATGGCTAGAGCAGGGGGGCTGGGAGCCAGCACTCCTGGGTTCCTGGCTCTGGGAGGGGAGTGGGGTCTAATGGCTAGAGCAGGGGGGCTGGGAGCCAGCACTCCTGGGTTCCTGGCTCTGGGAGGGGAGTGGGGGCTGGTGGGTTAGAGCAGCGGGGGCTGGGAGCCAGGACTCCTGGGTTCTCTCCTATATTTTTAGGTGGAGGTGCCTAGAGGGTCTGGGGGATTAGCACAAGGGGGGCTGGGAACTAGGAGCAGTTTATCCCAGCCCAGAAAAAGGTGGGGTGGGGTGGAGGGGAGGGGTACATTTCACTTTTCCTTTGAGGGCAGGGATGTTAAGATTATTTTCCCTGCTCCAGATTTGATGTGTGTGTGGGGGGGAGGAGGAATGTTATTAAGTGGGACAGTAGCTGGTGTCCTAGTGGCGGGTGTCATGGATTAATGAGGGGTCCCCTAATCTGGGCCCATGAACAACAGGGTCAAATGGAGCCAATGCAGTGTGGTTCTGTCACCCCCTAGTGGACTGATCGGGTAGAAAGGCTACTGACGCTGTAGTGCGGGGCCTGCTCTTACAGTTGTGGGTTCGAGTCCCTGCAGGGAGGGGGACCGGATTTGGGATTGGCCCACACCCCCTGAGGGAGAGGGAAAGACAGCTAAATGGGACCCGTATTGGCTGGAATAAGGATGGATTGCAGGAGACAGCTGAGGGAGGGAGAGAGGAAGAGGAAAGAAAGAAAAATGTGGGTGGGAAAAGCAGAAAGAGTGTGAATGTGAAAGGATGGGAAGGGAAGGTGGGAGTAATGTTAAATAGGACTCCTGGGTGCTCTCCCCAGCTCTGGGAGGGGAGTGGGGTCTAGTGGTTAGAGCTGGGGGGCCAGGACTCTTGGGTTCTATCCCCGGCTCTGTCATTGGTCCCCTGTGTAACCCCAGGCAAGTCCATATGTCAGTCTGTGCCTCAGTTTCCCCTTCTAAAGTGGCGCTTATGATACTGCCCTAAGGAGGAGGTGGGGGGAGGGAGGGCTCTGAGTTTCTCTGCTGAAAGCTGCTCCGCGGGTGCTAAGATGAACCTGCCTTCCAACCACTGCGTGCAGGGGGGAGGCGGGGGGCTGGAGGCTGACCTGAGCTCAGTCCGGAGCCACCCCCAGACTGCCACGGGGTCAGGGCTGGGTTCTGATCTCCCTTATGCTCTGTCTGACCTTGTGCTAATCCCTGGGTCTCATCACCCCAGTCCTTCGGTATCCCCGCTGCTAGCCCCATGCCTGGGACGCTGACCTTAACGTCTGCCCCCTGCCCTCCGGGTCCCCCCCCCATGTTAAATAGCGGGATGGATCTCTGCGTATATTTTTTTATATCTCTGTATATTCCCCCCCCTGTGTATAAATGTCCATTCCCCTCCCCCAGCCCTGCGGCGAGTTCACTCTAAAGCAAATCTTTCTAGCGAGAGAAAAATGTTTGTATTTCTTACCATTAAAGCGCGACCTTCGGTCTGGAGCTGGGCCAGTTCTTTGAGCCTCTTTACCCCTGGAATCCATTCCCCAGCACCCCCGAGAATCCACCCACCCCCCCAAGCTGGGTAACCTGCTGGCTAGAGCCGGGAGGGGACGCAGGGTGACGGTGGGGTCAGTCCCGGACACGCAGAGGGAGGGAAACACAATGGGAAAACGGGGAGCAGGAAGGAAATATTCTCAGAGCTGTGAGGCGCTTGTGTGGGTGCCAGGACTCCTGGGTTCTATCCCTGGCTCTGAGAGGAGAGTGGGAGCTGGTGGGTTAGAGCCAGGGCGACTGGGAGCCAGGACCAGGGGCACCCAGAGGATTCAGGGGATCTGGGGCAAAGCAATGTCGGGGGCCCCTTCCATAAAAAAAAGTTGCAATACTATAGAATACTATCTTCTCGTGGGGGCCCCTGCGGGGCCCGGGGCCTATTGCCCCATTTGCCCCCACCTCTGAGCGGCCCTGGCCAGGACTCCTGGGTTCTATCCCCAGCTTTGGGGGGGCTGGGGGGTTAGAGTGGAGGGGGCTGGGAGCCAGGACTCCTGGGTTCTATCCCCAGCTCGT